CTTCACAAAAACATTGCTTCATATAGTCAAGGTACATTTAGAAATACCTGTATATTTACTACCTTTTTTTTTTTCCACTCTTCATATTTTCTAATTCCTTTTGTCTGAACACCCTTTGGAATTTTCTTTGAGTAGATCTACAGACTCTTATGTATCTAAAAAATGTTTTATTTTACCTTCATTCTTAAATGATATTATTCGTGGTTATAGAATTCTAGCTTGGTATAATTACTTTCAGTTCTATGAAGATAATATTCTGTTGTCTTTTGGCTTTGGTTGTTGTGGAGAAGCCAGCTATTAATCAGTATGTTGCTCCTTTGAAGGTAATGTGTCTCTTTTTTATCTTTCTCCAGTTTTGATTTCATTTGTCGAAGTATGATTTCCTCATTCTCTTATGGGTTTCTTGAATCTGTGGAATAATATCTTTGATCAGTTATAGGGGATTCTAAGCTATTATCTCTTTAGATATAGCTTCTCCTTTCTTCATGGGACTCTGGATGTGTATTAAATCTTCTCTCTCTGCCTTGTAGCCTTATTCTTCATTTTCTACATTTTTGACCCTCTTTGCTGCTTTCTTGATTGTTTTTTATGATTTGTATTTTAGCCTATTCTTATGCTATATCAGTATTTCATTAAACCTATCCTTCAAGACCTTGATTTTAGTTATTTTGACTTCTTAGTACTCGTCTTTCTGACTGGTTCTTTTTAAAATCTGACATTTTTTTTCTTTAGTGTTTCCAGTTGTCTGTCAGTTTTCAAGCTTGGCTTTTATTTCTTGGACACTAAAAAACTATTGAACATAGTTGTTCTACACTCTTGTGTTTGATAATTCCAATATCTGAAATCTTTAGGATCTATTTCTATTTCTTTTTTTCTGCTAAATTGTGTTCATGGTGCCCTGTTTCTTTGTATGCCAGTTTTGTGTGCTTGACCATGTATTTGAAAAATTATGGGAGTGATTTGACAAAAGCTTTCCCTTCCTTTTCCCATATATGGACTAGAATTTATCATTAAAAAATAAAAAGTAAATGAAAGCTCATCGTATATATGAGCCAGGGGTGCTTCTATTGTGATTTTGTTTATACTGTTAAAGTTATACATGAATATATGTTCCCAAAATTTAGAGAGTTCATCTTTTCTTGTTTATCTACTTCATGCATAATTCATTAAAAGACTATAAAGCAATATTTTATTTATTTACTTTTTAAAGATTTATTTATTTGAGAGAGAGAGAGAGCTTGTACATGCACGTGGTGGGGAGGGGCAGAGGGAGAGAATCCCCAGCAGACTCCTTGCTGAGTGTGTAGCCCAACGTGGGGCTCGGTCTCACAACCTTGAGATCATGACCTGAGCCAAAACCAAGAGTTGGATGCTCAACTGACTGGGTTTAACCAGGTGCCCCTAAAAAGCAATATTTTAAAATAACTTTTTTCAGGTGAAATACTTCATCAATCCCTTGTGAAATATCACAGGTGATTTAATGTTATCTAATTTTGTAATCCTTAACAAGTAGAATGATTGGGATAGTTATTCTTAGCTTTATGAACTCAATTCTTTTTAGTAATTTAATTAATTTATTCAACTATTGTATTGGGGAAAAATTTTCAGTTATATATTGATTAAGATGTAAGGATTTATCTGTAGAGGGAATGTAGGTAGATAAATGGTATCTTGACCAGTTTTACTTCCAGGTAGTCAGTACAATAAGATCTATTAACTTCCTTATGGAATAATTGCCAAAAGCCCCCCGAAGGAAGCAGCTGAGGAACACCAGAAATGTGAATCCATCAAGGTGATGATCCAAAAGTAAAAGGTTCAAATTCTAGTGGTATAATATCATAGTGTTTTTGAGCTATCATATCAAATCTAGGACTTAGGATGGTTGTTTATTTAGTGGCTCTTAACTCTGACTTCATGCTGTTTATCTTCTGGAGAGCTTTTAGAAACGTATATTATTGGGGCGCCTGGGTGGCTCAGTCGTTAAGCATCTGCCTTCGGCTCAGGTCATGATCCCAGGGTCCTGGGATTGAGCCCCGCATCGGGCTCCCTGCTCAGCGGGAAGCCTGCTTTTCTCTCTCCCACTCCCTCTGCTTGTGTTCCCTCTCTCGCTGTGTCTCTCTCTGTCAAAAAAATAAATAAAATATTTTTAAAAATGTATATTATTGCCTAGGTTAACCCCTAGGTGATTCCAATATGCAGCAAGGTTTAAGAACCACTCCTTTGGTATACCATTTTGAGGAGGAGTTTAATGAACTAGTATTGCAGTAATTTTTAAGCTGTATATTCTTTCGAGATATCACAGTGGTTGCTTCCTGAAGGAGGCAGACTGGGCAATGTTAACCCCTTCTTCAAGCATAGCAGTTTTTCTGTTTTATATGCTAGGATTCTGTTTAACATTTCATTTGCTAAAAGAGTTTCCTTGGTTAAAAAATTCTGATTTCCCTTGGCTCAAAGGTAAAATGGTTCTTAGATTCTACTTAGATTTTCAGTAATATGGCAGACTAGATAACTTGAAAACACTTTGATTCAAAACACCTTTTTAAATAACAGGTTAGTTTGCCAGAAACTAAAGGGAATGCCGCAGGGCAAAAACAAAGAAATCTGAAAGCTATTGGTGTCTGTTTGAACGGACTTTGGAGGTGCCCTGAAAGAATTTGCCTGTGGAGGTAATATATTAATTAGCCTATATTGCTAATCAAACCACCCTGAAACTTAGTGGCTTAAACAGTTTTTTTTTATTTTGCTGATAGTTCTTTGATTCGGTAATTTGGGCTAGGCTTAGCTGGGCAGGTCTCATCTTAGCTGGACTCAGTTCATCAGCTGATTATCTGGCTAGGGGCTGGGTCATTTGTCATGGTCATAGCTGGGACAGCTTGTCTCTGCTCCAGGTTATATGTCATCCTTTACACGCTAATTTTGGATTAGTCTCAAGCTAGTAGAACAGAGTTCTAAAGAGAGAGAGGGAAAGAATGCAAAGCCACTTGTAAGGCATAATGTCAGATCAGATACACTGTTATTTCTGCTGCATTCTGTATTCAAAGCAAGCCACAGGTTAGAGCCTAGGCTTAAGACATGGAGAAATAGATTCCCCATCTTTTTTTTTTTTTTTTTAAAGATTTTATTTATTTATTTGACAGAGCACAGGTGGGGCGGGAGGGTGGTGGGAAGCAGCAGGCAGAGGGAGAGGAAGAAGCAGGGGTCCCCGCTCAGGGGGCTCCATCCCAGGACCCTGGGATCATGACCTGAGCCGAAAGCAGACACTTAGCTGACTGAGCCACCCAGGTGCCCCAGTAGATTCCCCATCTTGATGGAAACAGCTGCAGAAGTCCTATTGTAAGCATAATGGGTATAGAGAGAGGAATAATTTTGGCTCTTTTGATAAACAGTATACCATAGAGGGCAAAGGAGTTTAGGAGAGGAGATGAGACCTGAGAACTGATAGAAGCATTAGTGAGGCCTGAGAAACCATCTCCTCTCAATAAAACCACATCATGGAAAGAGTTTACCATGAAATATTCCCTTGCTAGCATAAGGAGACTTTTCTGTCCTTGGTCTAGTTTCGGGTTTGAATCTCCTCTGAGAATCTGTAACCACAGGACTACTGTAAGGTGGGTTTGGGGCTTGTCAAAGTCACCCTGGGTTGGTGTGTATGTATTAAATTTCACAATGTAAAATGGGTTTTAAATGAAAAACAGGGTGGCAGATTTGGGGTAAAAAAAAAAACTTCTAGAAATGGGATAAAAATTTCATCATTGAAATTTAAAATAAAGTGGGTAATTAAAACAGCAGGTTAGACACACTGCTAAAAAGAAAAGTATGATTTGAAAAACAGATCGAGAGAAATTACCCACAAAGGGGCACAGATATAAAAGAGAGATTAAAAGACAGGTAGGATATATTGGGTAGGTAGGATATATTGGGAAGTTGCAACATTTGTATAATACTGTCAAGGAGAAAATAATTGAATAAATGTGAGAGAGACAGTATTTATAGAAATAACACTTAAGAATTTGCCGGACTTGATTGAAGCCATAAAACCTGAGATTGAGGAACACAAGGCCTGAGCTGGATAATCATCTTCAACCCAAACATAGAAGGTTCTTAAACATACAGTGGTGAAACATCAGAGGGAGTTGCATAGGTTCACTGATTAGTGGGTTTTTTCAGCTTCAGTTCTGCAGTTTCTTAGATTTGCTTCTACTCTGCTACCTCCAAAGGAGTCTGGGTGCATAGATATAAGGATCAGTTTCTTTAGAAGAAAGGATACATTGTTTCATCTTATATATTTATGCATTGTTTTATTATACACACACACACACCCCTCAATCTTCTGATTGGTACTGGATTACTTGCCCAGTTCTTACTGTAAAACTTTTGATTGGTGTCCAAAGGTGGGTCATCATAGATCCTTTAGGCTAGAATGTTACAGGAAAGGGAAGGGGAGAACTTGGACAGTATAGTTAGATGCTACCCCTTGTGCTGAATAGGTCTGGGCCTTTCTAAATTTGAACATTTGTGGAAATTTTCTGGGTAGAGAATTCATTCAGTGTAGAGTAAGACTTTTTTTTACCTTTAAATTTTTTATTGTTATGTTAATCACCATACATTACATCATTAGTTTTTGATGTAGTGTTCCATGATTCATTGTTTGTGCATAACACCCAGTGCTCCACGCAGAATGTGCCCTCTTTAATACCCAACACCAGGCTAACCCATCCCCCACCCCCCTCCCCTCTAGAACCCTCAGTTTGTTTTTCAAAGTCCATCGTCTCTCATGGTTCGTCTCCCCCTTTGATTTACTCCCCTTCATTCTTCCCCTCCTGCTATCTTCTTTTAGAGTAAGACTTCTAATAACTAATTTGTACAGAACGTTTTAGAACTGTAATGGTTTTGTTAATGTATTTTTGAAGACAAATTATCAGTTAATATTTGTGTGCTTTTCTAAATGTAAATTGTTTGGAAGGTAACAGAGTCTGAGATTTTCTATCATTTTACTCTAGGCAGCACACTTCTGCTTTTGTTCCTTCATCAGGACGAATTTATTCTTTTGGACTTGGTGGTAATGGGCAGCTAGGAACTGGTTCAACAAGCAACAGGAAAAGTCCTTTCACTGTGAAAGGAAATTGGTTCCCTTATAATGGGCAGTGTCCACCAGATACTGGTAAGTTTTGTTATATTAAAGCTTTGCTACACATGTTAAAGTTGTTGAAATGTTGCTCTTAAATGTTGAAGTTTTCTGTGTTTGTAATGAAATAATTCCAAAATAAGTTGTTTAATGAAAATACCAAGATACAGAATAGTGTGTACATTTGCTTAGTTTGTTTATACTTGCTTATTTATGCATAAGGAAACTCATGATAAAGTAGAAAAATGGTTTCAGAGGGCTGAGCGTATGGGAACTGGGTGGTGGCTCGATGCCAGTGGGCAGGAGTATTTTTGTTTTGTGTGAAATACACATAACATAAAATTTATGAACTTAACCATTTAAGGTGTACAATTCGATAGTGTTCAGTACATTCCCATTGTTGCACAACCAGTCTCCAGAACTCTTTTCATCTTACAAAACTAGAACTCTATATTCATTAAACAGCAACTCTGCATTCACTCCTCCCACGGCTGGCAAACACCGTTCTACATTTGGTCTCTATGTATTTGACTTGGCTCTGGGTACTCATGTAAGTGGAATCATACAGTATTTGTCTTTTTGTGACTGACTGACTTCATAAATTTAGCATAATGGCCTTAAGGTTTATCCATGTTGTAGCATGTGTTAGGATTTCCTTCCTTTTTAAGGCTGAATAACATTTTATTGTACATATATACATTTTATCTGCTCACCTGTTGGTGGACACTTGGATTGTTTCCACCTTTTGTGACTGTTGTGAGTCATGTAAACATGGGTGTACAGATATCTCTTGAAGACCCTGCTTTCAGTTTATTTGGGTATATACAGGACTTTAAAATACATGACAATTTCTTTCTTTTTGAAATTTGAATCACATGAATATATTACCTATTTAAAGTATTAAATTTTTTAAATTTGCTTTTACGTCCCTACTGCTTTAGCCACATCTGTGATTTATTTTTATTTTCTAGTATTTTTTCAGTAGATCTGGTTATTTTTTCATTGGTATTAATTTACTAAAGAGTTTGAAATATTTGAATGCTGTTTTCTCATTTACTTTTTTAACATGCTACAACTAAAATATGCTTTTTGGGGCACCTGGGTGACTGAGTCGGTTAAGTGTCTGCCTTGTGGCTCAGATCATAATCCTGGAGTCCCAGGACTGAGCCTTGCATCAGGCTCCCTGCTCAGCAGAGAGCCTGCTTCTCTCTCTGCCCCCACCCCACTCGTGCTCTCTCGCTCTCTTTCAAATAAATAAAATCTTTTTTAAAAAAAGATAAAATATGCTTTTAAAAATATGTTTCCTTTATCATCCTAAACTGTTCCTCAGAATTTTCTTCTTCTTCATTTTACTGTGTCTGATTTCCTTAGGGATTTTTCTCTGAATTGTGAGGACTGGGGTCTGTCAAGATTTTATTCAGTGATGAGCATACTATGAAGGTTGATATTTGAAAAGGTCCATAACTTTTTATCAATGACCTTGAAGATTTTTTTATTTTTTTGGTAACTAAAAAGGCTATTCTCAGTTATGCTTTTATTTAGCAAAGGTCAGCAGATGATACTATTTTTTCTTGTTTTTGTTTCATTTTGTATTTAGTATATGCCTTCATTTTCTTCCACTCTTAGGTTTAGAACATGCATTTATTTTAGTAATACTGTTCTTGTGTACTTAGTGGCATGTTGGTATTTTATTATATTAGTTTCTTCCATGAAGAGCACTGTTAATAACATAACAGAGATTTTGTAATTTTAAAGCAGCACGAATATTGTAAGGAATCATGTATTTCTGTTTGTAAAGTTTAGTCACTTAGGGGTGCATTTTGTTACCCTTGAAACTGTACCTTGAGATCATTTGCTTTCAAATGGGAAAGGAAATGGAATTTTAAGATTAGTTGTTTTGCTACGATTTAGTTTCATCAGAAGTTTGTCGATTCACGGTAGTCAAAAGGTGTGAACAACTCGAGTGTCCCATCAACAGGTGAATGGATAAAAAAATGTGATATGTGCGTGTAATTGAAAATTAGCCATAAAAAGGCATAAAATTTTGATACATGGTACAACATGGATGAACCTTGCAAATATTATGCTAAGTCAAAAGAGCCAGACACAAAAGGACAATATATCATAGGACTGTTCTTATATGAGGTACCTAGAACAGTCAGATGTATAGAGACAGAAAGAATAGTGGTTACCAGGGACTTGGGGAAGGGGAGAACAGAGGAGTTGTGTAATGGGTACAGAATTTCTGATTGGATCTTTAGGTCTAAAATGAGTCTGTTAGAGGCAGCATGTAGATGGGTCTTGGTTTTTTATCCATTCTGATACCCTATGTCTTTTGATTAGAGCATTTAGTCCATTTACATTCAGAGTCATCATTGAAAGATACGAATTTAGTGCCATTGTGTTATGTGTAAAGTTGGTGTTTCTGATGATGTTCTCCATTCCTTTCTAGTTTTTGTTGCTTTTGGTTTTTTCCCCAGAGTCTCCCTTACTATTTCTTGCAAGGCTGGTTTAGTGGTCAGTGAACTCCTTTAGTTTTTGTTTGTCTGGGAAACTCTTCATCTCTCCTCCTATTCTGAATGACAGCCTTGCAGAATAAAGCATTCTTGGCTGCATATTTTTCCCGTTCAGCACTTTAAATATATCCTGTCATTCTCTTCTGGCCTGCCAGGTTACTGTGGACAGATCTGCTGTGATCCTGATCTGTCTCACCTTGTAGGTTAAGGACTTTTTTTTCCCTTGCTGCTTTCAGGATTCTTTCCTTGTCTGTGTATTTTGTGAATTTGACTGTGATATCTCTGGTGATGGCTGGCTTTGTTGAATTTAATGGGAGTTCTCCATGCTTCTTGGATTTTAATGTCTGTGTCCTTCCCCAGATTACTTAAGGGGAAGTGTTCAGCTATAATTTGCTCAGATAAACCTTCTGCCTCTTTTTCTCTCTTTTCATCGTTCTGGGACTCATGATATGAATGTTAACGTTTTAATAAGTCACAGAGTTCCCCAAGTCTACCTTTGTGATCCATCATCTTTGTTTCCCTCTTCTTTCAGCTTTATTATTTTCCATAATTTTATTTTCAATATCACTGATTCCTCTGCTTCGTCTGTCCTCATTGTTACGGCATCCATTTGGGTTTGCATCTCATTTATAGCATTTTTAATTTCAGCTTGACTAGCTTTTAGCTCTTTTATCTCTGCAGTAAGGGATTCTCTGGTGTCTTCTATGCTTTTTTCAAGTCCAGCTAATATCCTTGTAATTGTTGTTTTAAATTCTAGTTCAGACATCTTACTTATATCTGTATTGATTAAATCCCTGGTCATCATTTCTTCCTGTTCTTCCTTTTGGGATGAATAAATAAAATAAAATAAATAAAGCAAAATAAAATAAAAATTTTAAATTTAAAAAAATAAATAAAGGAAGCTAGGTGTGTTTTGGTCTGCTTGTTAAGAGAAGCTTGATACTGAATTAAAAAAATATATAGAAAATTTAAAAAATAAAAGAATTGCTCTTTCTGTATCCAAAAAAACAAAACCAGTATCACCTTGGGCACCTGGGTGGCTCAGATGGTTGGGCGTCTGCCTTCGGCTCAGGTCATGATCCCAGGGTCCTGGGATCGAGTCCCGCATCGGGCTCCCTGCTGCTTGGGAGCCTGCTTCTCCCTCTGCCTCTCTCTCTCTGTCTCTCGTGAATAAATAAATAAAATCTTAAAAAACAAAAAAAACCAATGTCACCTCTACCAAATGCACTCCCAGCGGGGGGAACCGTTTCTCCCTGTGCAACCCAGGAGATCCTCAGACTGCTCTGCCTGCTCCTGTGGCCTCTGCTGCTTCCCTCTTGGAGTGCTGCCAGGCAACCCTGGCTATGGCACTGACCTCCAAAACTTCAAACTCTGCGCTCTGCTGTTTATAAAAAACTGGCAGTGTTGAAACCTTCTCCTTTCTTCTAGTCAGTGGTTTTGGGGAACAGTTTTCTTGTACAGTCCTCTGTGTGTTTTCACTTCTAACCCCCACCCCAAACTCTTTCTCTCTCCCCTTGTCTCTCACTACCCACTCCACCACTAGGGCTCCCTCCCCTGTGCAGCGCCAGGGGCCTTTTTCTCCCATGAATCAACTCTCCACAGTTCCTACCTTCCATTCGTCATTTTTTTGTTTATAGATGTGCAGTAAAATGGGAAATTTTATGTATATTTTACCACAAATTATATATATATATGTGTGTGTCATATATATAATGGTTGATAATTACTTTGCACTATACTAAGGCTGTGTAGGATAAAATCTAGTTAAATGTGAATTTAAATTTTTTTGAGTTTTATTTATTTCAGAGAGAGAGAAAGTGTGGGGAGGGGCAGAGGGAGTCTTCAAACAGACTCCCTGCTGAGCACGGAACCTGACACAGGGGTTGATCTCATGACCCATGAGATCATGACATAAGCCGAAACCAAGAGAGTCACATGTTCAACCAACTGAGCCACCCAGGCGCCCCATTAAGTGTGAATTTAATTTGCTCAGTCCCTTCAGAGGTGAAGCCCATGGCCCCCACCATAAATCACATTGTTCTGATGTGGCCTCAAGCTCACAGGTAAACAAAAACATTCTTAACAGGATATTCCAGACTTTGGGATTATGCCCTTGGAGCTTTGGCATAGGGCAGACCTTTCCTTAGAATGTTTAAAGTTTGGACAACTGTGTTAGTGTTCTAGGGCTGCTGTAACAAAATACCATAAACTGAGTAGCTTGAACAACACAAATTTATTGACTCAGTTCTGGAGGCTAGAAATCCAAGAAAAAGCAGGGTTTCTTCTTTTTTTTTTTTTAAGGCTTTATTTACTTATTTGAGAGAGAGCATGCACAAGCAGGGTTGGGTGGGGAGGGGCAGAGAGAGAGGGAGAAGCAGAGAGTCCAACATGAGATCATGATCTGAGCCAAAAACACTTAGCCAACTGCGCCACCCAGGCACCCCAGGATTACTTTCTTCTGAGGGCTATAAGGGAGCCTCTGTTCCACGTGTCTCTCCTAGCCTCTGGTGGTTTGCTGGC